CCATCAGCCGCCTTAAAAGTGGAAACTCTTCCATCCTATCCCCCTGGAATAATTTTATTGCACCACCTAAGAGGAGTCTGCATTCCAGAAGAGCTCAGAAACGACAGCTTGTCCTTTCAAGCAATTAGCCAGGCGATTAGGCGCATATCCACCCCCAGGTAAAATAATATTCATTCAAGTACGATTTTTGATTCTAGCTAGTTTTGAAAAATATAATACTATGAATCAAACTAGATAAGTGCCTCAGTGTCAAAACATGTTTGGGGAACAAAATCCAAAGGTTTTGCAAATTAAAGCAGTGAAAATGGTGTGTGGAAGCCCTGGTTCTCCAGGGGCGGCCTGGATCTCATGGGGGTTAAGGTTGGTGTGAGAAGCCCAGGAACTCCAGGGGGCTATGTTGCAGGCGTGGGGCCCTGGAATCTCCCATGGGGGATAAGTTAGGTGTGGAGAAGCCCAGACCTCCAGGGGCGTATGTGCAGGCGTGGGGGCGGCCTTGATCTCCATGGGGTTAGGGTTAGGTGTGCGGGAGGCCTGGACGCCCTAACCCTAACCCAGCTCTGGACCCAGACTGAGGCTGGAGACCCAGGCTGAGGTTGTAGACCCAGACTGAGGCTTTAGACCCACAATTGAGGCTGTGGAACCCAGGAACCTGAAGCTCTGGACCCAAGGACCCTGAGGCTAAAAGCCCAGGGCTGAGGTTGTAGACCCATGACTGAGGTTTTAGACCCAGGGCTGAGGCTGTAGACCCAGACTGAGCGATAGACCCCAGGACTAAAGCTCTGGACCCGACTAGGTTAGACCCAGGCTGAGGCTGTAAACCCAGGACTGAGGCTATAGACCCAGGCTGAGTCTGTAGACCCAGACTGAGGCTATAGACCGCCAGGGCTGATCTGTAGATTCCAGGACTGAGCCTGTAGACCCTGGACTGAGGCTGTAGACCCAGGACTGAGGCAGGAGACCCAGGACTGAGGCTGTAGACCCTGGACTAAAGCCTCTGGACCCAGACTGAGGTTGTAGACCCATGACTGGAGGTTTTAACCAGGACTGAAGGCTGAAGACCCAGACTGAGTCTGAGACCCAGGAACTGAGGCTACTAGACCCAGACTGAGCCTCTAGACCCAGGACTGAGGCTCTAGACCAGGACTGAGCATTAGACCCAGGATTGAGGCTGTGGACCCAGGACTGAAGCTCTGGACCCAGGACTGAGGCTGTAGTACCCAGGACTGATGCTGTAGACCCAGGACTGAGCCTGTAGACCCAGGACTGATGCTCCTAAAGACCCAGGACTGAGGCTGTAGACCCAGACTGGAGCTGTAGACCCAGACTGAGGCTGTAGACCCCGACTGTGGCTGTAGACCCAGGCCTGAGGCTGTAGACCAGTCCTGGGTCTACAAGACGAGGCTGTAAGAACCAGGACTTAGGCTATAGACGCAGACTGAGGCTATAGACCCAGGACTGGGCTATATACCCAGGAACGAGGCTGTAGAACCCCGGACTGAGCCTGAGACCCAGGACTGAGGTGTACCCAGATGAGCCGGTAGACCCAGGACTGATGCTCAGACCCATGACTGATGCTGTAATCCAGGACTGAGCTGTAGACCCAGGACTGAGGCCTGTAGACCCATACTGGAGGTTTGTAGACCCAGGACGAGCTAAGACCCAGGACTGAGGCTGTAGACCAGACTGAGCTATAGACCCAGGACTGAGGCCCTGTAGACCCAGGACTGAGGCTATGGGACCCAGGACTGAGGCGGTAGACCCAGGACTGATGGTTGGGTTGGTAGACCCAGGACTAAGGCTGTAGACCCAGGGACTGAGTCTGTAGACCCAGGGCAGAGGTTTTAAGACCCAGGACTGAGGCTTAGACCCAGTTTTTTATTGGAGGCTGTGGACCCAGGACTGAAGCTCTGGACCCCAGGACTGAGGCTAGACCCCAGGAACTGAGGCTGTATCCCAGGACTGAGCTGTAGACCCAGTACTGAGGCTTAGACCCAGGACTGAGGCTGTAGACGCCATGACTGAGGCTGTAGACCCAGACTGAGGCTGTAGACCCAGGACTGAGGCCCTAAAGACCCAGACTGAGTCTGTAGAACCCAGACTGAGCCTGTAGACCCAGGACTGAGCCTGTAGACCCAGGACTGAGGCTTAGACCCAGGACTGAGCTGTAGACCAGGACTAGGCTATAGACCCAGGCTGAGGTTGTAGACCCAGGACTGAGGTTTTAGACCCCATGGCTAGGCTGTAGACACAGGACTGAGGCTCGTAGACCCAGGACTGAGGCTGTAGATACCAGAAAGAGGCTGTGGACCCAGGACTGAGGCGTATCCCCAGACGGAGCTGTAGAACCCAGCCTGAGGCTGTGGACACAGACTGAGCTGTATCCTCATGACTGAGTCTGTAGACCCCGGACTGAGGCTCTAGACCCAGGACTGAGGCTGTAGACCCCAGACTGAGCCTCTACACCCAGGACTGAGGCTTTAGACCGCAGGATTGAGGCTGTGGACCCAGGACTGAAGCTTCTGGACCCAACTGAGCTGGTAGACCCAGGACATGAGCTGTAGACCCATGAACTGAGCCTGTAGACCCAGGACAGAGGCTCTAGACCCAGGACTGAGTGCTTGTAGACCCAGGACTGAGGCTTTAGACCAGGATTGAGCTGTGACCCAGGACTGAGGCTGTAGACACCAGGACTAGGTTTTAGACCACAGCACTGAGGCTGTAGACCCAGGACTGAGGCTATAGACCCAGGGCTGACCTGTAGACCAGGACTGAGGCTCGAGACCCAGGACTGAGGCGCAGACCCAGGACTGAGGCTGTAGACCCAGGACTGACGCTGTAGACCCAGGACCTGAGGCGTAGACCCAGGGCTGAGGCTGTAGACCAGGACTGAGGGCTTAGACCCAGGATTGAGCTGTGGACCCAGGAATGAAGCTGTAAACCCAGGACGAGGCTGTAGACCCAGTGACTGAGGCTGTTATCCCAGACTGGAGCCTGTAGACCAGGACTGAGGCTCTACGACGCCGGACTGAGCTGTAGACCCAGACTGAGCCCTGGAGACCCAGGACTGAGGCTGTAGACCCAGGACGGAGGCTGTAGACCCAGGGACTAAGCTGTAGACCCAGGATGAGGCTGTAGATCCAGGACTGAGGCGGTAGACCCAAACTGAGGCTCTAGACCCAACTGAGGCTGTAAGACCCAGGACTGAGGCTGTAGCACAGGACTGAGCTCTACACCCAGGACTGAGGCTTTAGACCCAGATGAGCTGTGCACCCAGGGACTGAAGCCTGAACCCTGGACTGAGGCGTGTAAACCCAGACTGAGGCTGTGATAGACCCAGGACTGAGCCTGTAGACCCAGGACTGAGGCTCTAGACCCAGACTGAGGCTGTAGACCCAGACTGAGGCTCTAGACCCAGTACTGAGCTGTGACCCAGGACTGAGCTGTAGACCCAGGACTGAGGCTCTAGACCCTGGACTGAGGCTGAGACCCAGGACTGAGCTGTAGACCCAGGACTGAGCTCTAGACCCAGGACTGAGGCTGAGACCCATGACTGAGGCTGTAGATCCAGGACTGAGCCTGTAGACCAGGACTGAGGCTCTAGACCCAGGACGAGGCTGAGACCCAGGACTGAGGCTGTGGACCCAGGCCTAAGCTCTGGACCCAGAATGTGGCTCTAGACCCAGGACTGAGGTCTGGTAGACCCAGGACTGAGGCTGTAGACCCAGACTGGAGGCTATAACCCAGGACTAAGCACTGGACCCAGGACTGAGGTTGTAGACACTAGACTGAGGTTTTCAGACCCAAGGCTGAGGCTGTAACCCAGGGCTGAGGCTCTAGACCCAGGACTGAGCTGGTAGACCCAGGACTGGAAGCCTGGACCCAGGACTGAGCTGTGACCCAGGACTGAGGCTGTAGACCCAGGACTGGAAGCTCTTGACCCAGGACTGAGGCTGTAACCCAGGACTGGTGGGGGGGAGGCTGTAGACCCCGGACTAGTCCTGGAGACCCAGGACTGAGGCTCTAGTCCAGGACGAGCTGTAGACCAGGACTGAGCTTAGACCCAGGACTGAGGCTGTAGACCCAGGACTGAGGCTTGTAGACCCCAGGACTGAGGCTGTAGACCCATGACTGAGCTCTTACACCCAGGACTGAGGCTCATAGACCCCAGTACTGAGGGCGGCTAAGACCCCAGGACTGAGGCTGTAGACCCAGACTAGAGCCTCTACACCCAGGACTGAGGCTCTAGACCCATGACTGAGGCTCTAGACCCAGGACTGATGCTTTAGACCCAGGACTGAGGCTCTAGACCCAGGAATGAGGCTGTAACACAGGACTGAGCCTCTACACCCAGGACTGAAGCTCTGGACCCAGGACTGAGGCTGTAGACCCTGGACTGAGGCTATAGACCCGGGCGAGGTTGTAGACCCAGGCACTGAGTTTAGACTCATGGGCTGAGGCTGTAGACCCGGACGAGGCTGTAGACCCAGACTGAGGCCAGTAGATCCAGTAATGAGGCTTTAGACCCTGGATTGAGGCCTGTAGACCCAGGACAGAAGCTCTGGACCCAGGATGAGGCTGTAACCCAGGACTGAGGCTGGTAGACCCAGGACTGAGGTTGTATACCAGGACTGAGGTTGTAGACCCAGGAAGAGGTTTTAGACCCAATGGCTGAGGCTGTAGATCCAGGACTGCGGCTGTAATCCCAGGACTGAGCCTGTAGACCCCAGGACTGAGGGCTGTAGAACCCAGGACTGAGGCTGTAGGCACAGGACTTGAGCCACTACACCCAGGACTGAGGCTTTTAAGACCCCAGGATTGAGGCTTTGACCCAGGACTGAGGCTGTAGACCCAGGATCGAGGCTGTAGACCCAGGACTAAGCTGTAGACCCAGGACTTAGGCTGAGATCCGGACTGAGGCTGAAGACCCAGGACTGAGGCTCTAGACCCAGGACTGAGGCGGTAGACCAGGACTGAGGCTGTAGGCACAGGACTGAGGCCATCTACACCCCGAGTGACTGAGCTTTAACCCCAGATTGAGCTGTGGACCCAGGACTGAAGCCTCTGAACCCAGGGACTGAGGCTGTAGACCCAGGACTGAGGCTGTAGACCCAGGACTGAGCCTGGAGCCCCCAGGACTGAGGCTCTAGACGCCAGACTGAGGACGGTAGACCCTTGACTGAGGCTCTAGACCAGGACTGGGAGGCTGTAGACACAGGACTGAGGCTGTAGACCCAGGACTGAGGCTCTAGACCCAGGACTGAGGCGGTAGACCCAGGACTGAGGCTGTAGACCCAGGACTGAGGCTCTAGACCCAGGACTGAGGCTGTAGCCCAGGACTGAGGCTTGAGATCCAGGACTGAGCCTGTAGACCCAGAACTGAGGCTCTAGACCCAAGGACTGAGGCTGTAGACACCCAGGACTGAGGCTGTGTTGACCCAGGACTGAGCTCTGGACCCAGACTGAGGCTTCTAGACCCAGGCTGAGGCTTTAGACCCAGGACTGAGGCTGTAGAATCCCAGGACTGGGGAGGCTAAGACCCAGGACTAAAGCTCTGGAGCCCAGACTTAGGTTGTAGACCTATGACAGAGGTTCAGACCCAGGGCTGAGGCTGTAGACCCAGGACTGAGGCTCTAGACCCAGGACTGAGGCGGTGGGACCCATGACCTGAAGCCTGGACCCAGGACTGAGGCTGTAGACCCCAGGACTGAGGCGGTAACGCCAGGACTGAAGCTCTGGACCGCAGGACAGAGGCTGTTAGACGCCATACTGAGGGCTGTAGACCCAGGACTGAGCCTGTAGTACCCAGGTCCCTGGTCTAGAGCCTCAGTTCCCTGGTGTAGAGGCTCAGTCCTGGTTCGACAGCCTCAGTCCTGGGTCTACAGCCTCATTCTTGTCTACAGCCCAGTCCTGTGTCTACAGCCTCAGTCCATGGGTCCTACAGCCTCAAGTCCTGGGTCTACAGCCTCATCCTGGGTCTAGAGGCTCAGTCCTGGGTCTACACTCAGTCCGTGTCTACAGCCTCAGTCCTGGGTCTACAGCCTCAAGTCCTGGGTCCAGAGCGTCAGTCCTGGTCGACTGCCTCAGTCCTGGTCTACAGCCTCATTCCTGTTCCATAAGCTTCAGTCCGTGGTCAACACAGCCGACCAGTCCTGGGTTCTAGTAGCTCAGTCCTGGGTCTACAGCCTCAGCCTGGTCTGAAACCTCAGTCTTAGGTCTACAACCTCAGTCCTTTGGGTCCAGACTTTTAGTCCTGGGTCTATAGCCTCAGTCCTGGGTCTACACCTCTAGTCCCTAGGTCTACAGCCTCAGTCCCTGGGTCTAGAGCCTCATTCCTGTCCAGATCTTTCAGTCCTGGTCCACACCTCATCCCTGGGTCTACAGCCTCAGTCCTGGTCTAGAAGCCTCAGTCCTGGGTCCTACAGGCCATCCTGGATCGACAGCCTCGAGTCCTGGGTCTAACAGCCTCAGTACCTGGGTCTGAGCCTCAGTCCTGGGTCTTACAGCCTCAGTCCTGGGTCTACAGCCTGCAGTCTCAGGTCTGGTAAGCCTCAGTCCTGGGGCTACAAGCCTCAGTCCTGTGTCTACAGCCTCAGTCCAGGTCCTAGAGCCTCAGACCAGGGTCTACAGCCACAGTCCCTGGGTTCTAGACTTCAGTCTGGGTCTACAGCTCAGTCCTGGGTCTACAGCTCAGTCCGTGGGCTACAGCCTCAGTCCTGGGTCAGACTTCAGTCCTGGGGTCACACCTCAATCCCTGGGGTCTAAAAGCCTCAGTACCTGGGTGTAGAGGCTCAGTCGGGCCTACAAGCCTCATCCTTGGGTCTACAGCCTCAGTCTGGTCTAGAGCCTCAGTCCATGGTCTACAGCCTCCAGCCTGGATCTAACAGCCCTCAGACTTGGTCTACAGCCTTAGTCCTGGTCTACAGCCTCAGTCCTGTCTACAGCTCATTCCAGGTCCACAGCCTCAGCTCCTGGGTCTAAAAGCCTCAGTCCTGGGTGTAGAGGCTCAGTCCTGTGTCCTTAAACAGCCCTCAGTCCTGGTCTACATCCTCAGCCGGGGTCTAACAGCCCTGTCCTGGATACAGCCTCAGTCCTGGATCTACAGCCTCAGCATGGGTCTAAAACCATCAGTCCTGGTCTACAACCATCATCCGGTGTCTACAACCTCAGTCCCTGGTCTACAGCCTCAGTCCTGGGTCTACACAGCCTCATCCTCACTGGGTCCAAGCTTCAGTCCTGGTCTACAGCCTCATCCTGGGCTAAAGCCTCAGTCCTGGATCTACACCTCAGTCCCTGAGGTCTAGCAGCCTCAGCTCCTGGTCTAGCAGCCCAGGCCATGCGTCGAAAACCTCAGTCCTGGGTCTACAACCTCAGCCATGGTTCATACCACAGTCCTGGGTCCCTACAAACCTCAGCGTCCTGTCCAGAGCTTCAGTCCTGGTGTAGAGGCCTCATCCGTGTCTACAGCCTCAGTCCCTGGTCAAATCCTTCAGTCTGGTCTACAAAGGCCTCAGTCCTGGTCTAGAGCCTCAGTCCTGGGTTCTAGAGCCCTCAGATCCCTGGGTGTAGAGCGCTCAGTCCCTGGGTCTACAACAAGCCTCAGTCCTGGGTCTAGAGGCCTCAGTCCTGGTCCTAAGAGCCTCAGTCCTTGGTGTAGAGGCCTCATCCTGTCTACAGCCTCATTCCTGGCTCACCTCAGTCCTGGTCTACAGCCTCAGTTCCTGGTCTACAGCCTCAGTCCTGGGGTTACAGCCACAGTCCTGGGTCAAGAGCCTCAGTCCTGGGGTCTACAGCTCAGATCTGGTCCTACAGCCTCAGTCCCTGGGTCAAGCAGCCTCAGTCTGGTCGCATAGCTTCATTCCCTGGTCTACAGCTCAGTCCAGGTCTACACCGCAGTCCTGGGTCAGAGCTTCAGTCCTGGGTCCACACCCCTCAGTCCTGGGTCTAAGCCTCATCCTGGTCCACAGCCTCAGCCTGGGTCTGAAACCCTCAGTCTTAGTCTACAACCTCAGTCCTGGGTCCAGAGCGCTTTAGTCCTGGGTCTATAGCCTCAGTCCCTGGGTCTACAGCCTCAGTCTGGCTACAGCCGCAGTCCTGGGCTCTAGAGCCTCAGTCCTGGTCCAGAGCTTCAGCTCCTGGTCAACATCCTCAGTCCAGGTCTACAGCCTCAGATCCTGGTCTAGAGCCTCAGTCCTGGGTCTACAAGCGCAGATCCTGATCGACGCCCTCAGTCCTGGTCTACAGCCTCAGCCTGGCTAGAGCCTCAGTCCTGGGTCTACACCTCATCTGGTCTACAGCCTCATCCCTGGTTCTAGATCCTCAGTCCTGGATGATACAGCCTCAGTCCTGTTGTCTACAGCCTCATTCCTGGGTCTAGAGCCTCAGTCCTGGGTCTACAGCCTCAGTCCTGTCTAGAGCCTCAGTCCTGGTCTACAGCTCAGTCCTGGGTCTAACAGCCTCAGACCTGGTCCTACAGCCCTCAGTACCTGGGGTCAGAGCTTCAGTCCTGGGTCCACAGCCTCAATCCTGGTCTATAGCCTGCAGTCCTGGTGTAGAGGCTCAGTCCTGTGCCTACAGCCTCAGTCCTGGGGCTACAGCCTCATCCTGGGCTAGAGCCCCTCAGTCGTGGGTCTACAGCCTTCATCCTGATCTACAGCCTCAGTCTGGTCTACAGCCTTAGTCCTGGGTCCTCAGCCTCAACTCAGATCAGGCACTGGGTCTAATGCGCTCAGTCCTGGTCACAGGCCATCCCCTGGGTCTACAGCCTCATCCCGGTCTGAGCCTCAGGCCTAGGGTCTAACAGCTCAGATCCTGGGAAAACACCTCATCCTGTCAACTGCTCAGTCCTGGTCTACAGCTTTCAGTCCTGGGTCCACAGCCTCAATCCTGGGTTCTAAAGCCTCAGTCCTGGGTCTACCAGCCTCAGGCTGCCCTGGGTCTACAAGCCTCAGTCCAGGGTCCTACAGCCTTATCCTGTCTACAGCCTCAGCCTGGTCTGCAGCCTCAGTCCTGGGTCCTAGAGCCTCAGTCCTGTCTACAGCCTCAGCCGGGTCTATAGCCTCAGTCCTGGGTCTACAGCCTCAGTGCTGTGTCTAAACCTCAGTCCCTGTCCCGACAGCCACAGTCCTGGGTCCACAGCTCAAATCCTGGGTCTAAATCCTCAGACCTGGGTCTACAGGCTCAGTCCTGGGTCTAGAGCCTCTGTCCTGGGTCTACAGGCTCCAGTCCCTGGGTCTACAGCCTCAGTCCTGGGTCTACAGCCTCAGTCCCTGGGTCCCGAGCTTCAGTCCTGGGTCAACAGCCTCATCCTGGTCTAAAGCTCAGTCCTGGGTGTAGATGCTCAGTCCTGGGTCGACACCCTCAGTCCTGGGTCTAGAGCCTCAGTCCTGGTCTACAGACTCAGTCCTGGGATACAGCCCTCAGTCCTGGTCCAAAGCCTCCATCCTGGTCTAGCAGGCTCAGTCCTGGATCCAGCCTCAGTCCTGGGTCCCGCACAGCCCTCTTTCTCACCTGGATCTACAGCCCTCAGTCCTGGGTCTACACCTCAGACCTGGGTCTACAGCCTCCAGCCATGGGTCTAAAACCTCATCCTGGGTCTACAACCTCTGCCCTTGGGTCCTAAAGCCCTCAGTCCTGGTCTACAGCCTCATCCTGGGTCTACAGCTCAGTCCTGTGTCTACAGGCTCAGTCCTGGGTCTTAACAGCTCAGTCCTGGGACTACAGACTCAGACCCTGGTCTATAGCCTCACCATTCCTGGTCAACAAGCCTCAGTCCAGGGTCCTACACAGCCTCAGTCATGGGTCTACAGCACGTCCAGGGTCTAACCTCCTCAGTCCCTGGACTACAGCCTCATCCTGGGATACAGCCTCAGTCCTGGGTCTACAGCCTCAGTCCTGGGTCCAGAGCTTCAGTCCGGGGTCCACAGCCTCAATACTGGTCTAAAGCCTCAGATCCCTGGTCTAAAACCTCAGCCTGGGTCTGAACACCTCATCCGGTCTCCCGCCTAGGTCCTGGTCTACAGCATCATCCAGGGTCTACACCCTCAGTCCTGGTCTATAGCCTCAGTCCTGGGTCTACAGCCTCAGTCCTTGGGTCTATAGCCTCAGTCCTGGGTCTACAGCCCTCAGTCCTGGTCTACAGCCTCAGTCCAGGGTCTACAACCTCCAAGTCCCTGGGTCTACAGCCTCAGTCCTGGGTCTCAGCCACATCCCCCCTGGGGTTCTACAGCCTCAGATCCTGTCTAGAGCCTCAGTCCCTGGGTCTACCGCCAGTCCTAGGGATACAGCCTCAGTCCAGGGTCAAACTACAGGCTCAGTCCTGGGTCTACAGCCTCAGTCCTGGGTATATAGCCTCAGTCCTGGTCTATAGCCTCAGTCCTGGGTCTATAGCCTAAGTCCTGGTCGACAGCCTCACGCTTGTAGACCCAGGACTGGTCTACAGCCTCAGTCCCTGGGTCCTACAGCCACAGTCCGGGGTCCTACAAGCCTCAGTCCTGGTCTACAGCCTCATCCTGGTCTACAGCCTCTGTCCTGGTCTAGAGCATCAGTCCCTGGGTCTACAGGCTCTTCCGGGTCCTACTGACCTCAGTCCTGGTTCTACAGCCTCAGTCCTGGGTCCAGAGCTTCAGGTCCTGGGTCCACACCTCAATCCTGGGTCTAAAGCCTCATCCTGGGTCTAGAAGCCCTCAGTTCCTGGGTCTAGAGCCTCAGTCCTGGGTCAAGAGCCTCAGGTCCCTGGGTCTACAGCCCATCCGGGGTCTTCAGCCTCAGTCCTGGGTCTAAAACCTCAGTCCTGGTCTACAACCTCAGTCCTGGGTCCAGAAGCGTTATCCTGGGTCTACAGCCTCAGTCCTGGGTCTACACTCAGTCCTGGGTCTACAATCCTCAGTCCTGGGTCCTACTACGCAGGCTCAGTCCTGGATCTACCAGACTCAGCGCCTGGGTCTATAGCTCAGTCCTGGGGGTCTACAGACTCAGCCCTGGTCTATAGCCCATCCTGGGATTACAGCCTCAGCCCTGGGTCTAAAACCCTCAGGTCCTGGTCCAAGAGCTTTAGTCCTGGTCTATACCGCACAGTCCTGGTCCTACAGCCTCAGCCCTGGGTCTAAATCCTCAGTCCTGGTCAACAACCTCAGACTTGGTCTATAGCCTCAGTCCTGGTCCATAGCTTCATCGGTCCACAGCCTCAATCCTGGGTCTAAAGCCCGCAGACCCTAGGTCTACAACCTCACCCTGGGTTCTAACAGCCTCAGTCCTGGGTCCCAGAGCTGGGTTAGTTAGTGTCCCCGGCCCTCCCCACAGCACCTAACCCTACCCCATGTAGATCCAGGCCGCCCCCACGCCTGCACATAGGCCCCCCCCTGGAGGGGCCAGGGCATCTCCACACATAACCTTAACCCCCATGATGTAGATGCCAGGCCGCCCCCAAACGGACGCCTGCAGCATAGCCCCCCTGGAGTCCAGGGCTTCTCCACACCTAACCTTAACCCTGCGCCCCCCCATTGGAGACCATGCCCGTCCCCCCTGGATAACCAGGGTCTTTCCGCCACACCCATTTTGCACTGCTTTAATTTGAAACCCTTTGATTTTGTTCCCCAAGACCATGTTGACACACTGAGCACTTATCTAGTTTGATTCATAAGTAATAAATATTAATTCAAAAAGTAACTATGCTAGAATCAAAAATGTACATGCAATGAATACATATTTACCTGGGGGTGGATATGCCGCAATAATCGCCTGCTAATTTGCTCTGAAAGGACAAGCAGTCGTTTCTGAGCCTTCTGGAAGGCAGACTCCCCTCTTCAGGTGGTGCAATAAAATTATTCCAGGGGAATAGAGATGGGAAGAGATTCACATTTAAGGCGTCTGAGGCCGGATCCTGTGATAAAATCCTCCGCGTGTGAAATTTACTACAGACTAAATGCTGAATTTATTTCAGTAAAAATCATCAGAAGACAGCTGGCAAATGGAGAAATTAAAGCTGGTACCTACATTTTCCCTTCATTAAAAGCTTTTTTTGGTTGTACCCTAAAGTAGAAGGTTGTGAGCCAGTCTAACAGATTTAAGTACTTTGGTATGAATAACAATGTGCCATTACATTTAGATAATCTCATTTAAAAACTTCAATTGAGTGGATTTGAAAAAATAGAATTGTTAAAAAAGGTGATTACTCGTGCGTTAACCACATTACTAGGTGAGTTAATCAACTCAATATTTTTTATTGTTTGACAGCCCTAGTCTTTTTTTAATTGCTCTGGAACGAATGGTCCACTACTCTACATTTTACAATTGGTTAAACGTATTTTATTATCAAAGTGAACCTATGATGCAACCTGGGTAGAGCCTTGTGTAGCCCTGTTTTTTCAGTGATTTTATATAACATCTAACCTAAGCACATTCTTTTATATCATTTTTAAATAAAACAAATAATTCGATCGAAATTTTGAAAGCAGTAGTCCATAAAATATAAAATAATATAATTTATGGTTAACTAAAAAGTATTATACTAGTAGAAATTAAATAAATAATTTCATCACTGAAAATTGGATAGTTTGAATTAACTAAAATTAAATGTAATTAAAGTAGTACATTTATTTATTTTAATTTTCAATATATCTTTTTTTGTGACTAATTTTGAGCACGCAGGTTTAACGTGTATAGTCCCCCACTATATAGTGCCTGTGTGGATAGGATATAGTGTGGACGTTCGGTTATACAGCCACATATTTCAAACTGATTCTATTGAAAAGTGATTTTTGAAATAATCACATACGGGACTGTCACCATAGTAACACATAGCACACACTACCGGTTTCTTTTTTTAACTGAAAGCTTGCTGTCATTCTGATACATCCTCCTCAACTATTTTATTTGGTAAGAACAATTTTATGTTGTATTTTGTTTGACATCCTGTTTAACCAGTTAATGTGTTTGTTGAGTTTAATATCACATTTTTGGGTGAAGAGTATAAAATGAAGTCTTTGTTGCCTTTTTCCTCTAGTTCTGTGTGAGAGTGAACATGTGTATGTTTACATGTCAATGTGCTGTGTGTCCCTTGTGTTTTGGCCCCTCACTTTAGACCATGCACCCCTCACTTTATTCATCGTCTCTGAAATACTAAATGTATATTGTGAGAGCGAAGCTCTCTGCTACTGAGATGAAGCTCTGAACATAAACTTGAGCCTATTAGTTTTTTTCTGACCATATGACTTATAGATTCACAAAGCTTTAGTGCATGAAATTGATCCTGATAAAATATCCTCAAAATACTAAACACTGATTGTCTATATATAATCAACATCACATTTGAGAAAAGATCATGCAAGTAAAAAAAGTATATCTCTTGACATTTAATAGCAGTAGTTTAATACGCCAAATTTTGAAGGCATCCAGGACACCTTGAACCAAGTTAAGTCACCTTTTAATATAATTGGTAATTTCGGAGACGTGGATAAGAGAGAATAGTGAGAGTGACTTTGAATTTAGAGGGTTATGAACTGTTCCAGTACAAACCGAAACACAAGAGAGTAGGGGAGTGGCTCTTATACGTGGACAAAAACATGAACTGTTCTATTGTAAATGATTTGTGTTTTAGACGATAGATGACCTTTTTGAGTGTGTCACGATAGATCTAGCAATTTTTTCCCCAACCCAGAAAAACATTATTGTAAGCTGCGTTTTACAGGACACCAGGAACCTACTTGAAACTATTTAGGAATGAATGGAAAAGAATATTTAGATAATAGAAACAAACAATTTTATCATATGCGGAGACTTTAACATTAACCTTTTAAATTCTAAATAAACATGTACATACAAGGAAATTTATTGGAACCATGTTTTCTTTGGGCTTTGTTCCCACTTATCAGCAGACCCACGAGATCACATCTCATAGTGTCACTCTTATAGACAATATATTCTGCAACATTTTAGACGACAAGTTAACTGTAGGTGTGTTAGTGATGATGTGAGTGATCATTTACGCGACTTCATGAGTATGAAGTCAACAGCAATATTTACCAAACAGTATAAAGGGTCCCTTCTTTCAAAAACGAGTTACAACAGAACAATCCTTTTTAGCATTAAAGCATTATCAGCGAGGCACAACCTGGGAACCTATTTTTTTTCATGTTTTGATGTAAATGGAGCTTACAATTTGTTTTCTTGACATTTTCCTCACACTTTAAGATAAGCACTGTCCAAATCAAAAAGTGCACAAGAAAGCACACAAAAACTCCATGGTTAACAAGAGGCCTTGTAAAACGCTGCAAAAAAAAAATTTACTTGTAAAGCAATTTCTTAGGTATCAAACGACAGAAACTGAAACAAAAATACAAAACATAAAAAAATAAATTAACTCGCATGATGAGAACCAGCAGGTAAACAAATAATATATAGATTTACTTTTCAAAAAGAAAAATGACATAAAAGGAATTTGGAAATGTATTGAATAGCGTTATTGGTCGTGCGGCTCTAACAGCCTTTGTTATCCTGAGTTTATTTTTTGAAAATGACATGATGTTTGAGACAAAAAGAAGATTGCAAATTGGTTTTAATAATTTCTTTGTAAAATAGGGCCTGAGTATGGCAGGAAAAAATCTCCAGAAAAAACAATGATCAGGCTAAGAGAACTCATTGAAACAAATCACATTCGATGTTTTATCGCCCCCACAGACGATCAAGGAAAGTCCTCAATGTCAATTAGGAACTGTAAAAAAAAAAACATCAGGTGATATAATGATCTCGACGTATAGGACTGCGAAATGTAGCATAGGAAATTGCTAAACCCGTTCACGCCATATCGCAACTTATCTTTTCAGCCTGGGAGAATTATCCTCACCAATGAAACTCGCAAAATTCATACCAATTGTTAAAGCTGGAGACAAACACCACTTTACAAACTTTCGGCCTGTTTTCCCTTCTTATCTGCCAACCAGTTTTCTAAAATATTAGAAACAAGTATTTGGACACTAGACTTCGCTGCTTTATTGAAAACCACAATTTACTGTCCAATAGTCAATATGGATTTAGAACAAAAAATAACCCTTCACTAGCACTAATTGATTTAATTTGAAGAAATTACTAATGTTACTTGAGAAAAATAAATTTTTGTTTATGGGATTATTCATCTGACCTTCAAAAGCGTTCGATACAATTGACCACCATATTTTGATACACAAATTTGAGAGCTATGGCATAAGGGGACAGCCTAAACAATGGTTTAGAGAGTTATTTAAGTGAGAGAAGCAGCTGGTACAGATTGACCCACACAAATCTGGATTTAAGAACATAACGTGTGGAGTACCCTCAAGGATCAATACTTGGACCCACTTTATTCATAATGTACATAAATGATATATGTACAATATCAAACTTCATGAAATTCGTTCTCCTTTGCCGATGACAACAAATATCATAAGTGCAGGTGATGATCCTGGAGCAGCTCTGCCGTTGTAAACTGTTGAAATGAACAAACTAAAGACCTGGTTTAATACAAAACAATTTGTCATTGAAATTAAAAAAACCAGATTCATGCTTTTTAGCAATCGCAGATGTAGATATTCCTGTCAAGATTGTCATGACGAAAACAGAAATGGAAAAAGTTCACCAAAATACATTTTTAGAGTTTTGTAATAGATGATAAAATCATCCTGGAAACCCCACATACATTTCATCGTCCAAAGTTGCTAAATGTGTTGTGGAATTGATGAGGAGAGCAAGTCTTTACACAAACCAATGCTCTTCTATAAATTGTATCGTTCTTTCATCATGTCCCATATTTACATAACTACTGTGTTGAAGTGTGGGGAAACAGCGACAAATCCACTTACAGCCTCTGATCACGAATGCAGAAAAAGGCCATAAGGAGTTGTCCTCTAATGTTTATACACTACAAGCATCATACTCACCCACTGTTCATAGAGTTTGAAGAATTTAAACCCTTGTATTATGTTGAAAAAAAATTACATTGATTATTGTTGCGGGTCATTTGACAGCTGAACCGTGAGGAGGACAAGAGGATTTGACTAAATATTTCATAAATATAGCGTTGGAATTAAAAATGTATTGTATGTCACTTTTATAAATATTTATATAGCCACGATATAGTTGTTATTGTTTAACCTGTTTTCCGTGACTGTTTTGAGTGCATTTACACAGTACGGGTCAAAATGACCCGCAACATAATCAATGTAATTTTTTTCAACATAATACAAGGGTTTAATTCTTCCAAACTCAATGAACACAAAGTGGTGAGTTAATGAGTGTTGTAGTGAACATTACGACAATCCTTATGGCCTTTTCTGCATCGTGATCAGAGCCCAGTAATGGGATTGTAGCAGTTTCCCCATCACTTCAGACACAAAATGTAAATATGACATGATGAAAAGCAACGAAACAATAATAGAAGAGCATTATGGTGTTTGAGTAAATGACTTGCTCTCCTCATACATTCCAACACATTTAGCAACTTTTGACCTGAAGAAATGTGCTGTGGGGTTTCCAGGATTATTTTACATCTATTTACAACTCCTAAAAATGTATTTTGGTGAACTTTCCATTCCTGTATCGTCAATGACAATCTTGACAGGAATTTTACCTCT